TGTTTGTTCATTTGTTTTTGAACTGCCTCATCTACTTCAGTGTTTCTCTTACAGCTTCGCCATCTAACAATTTCTATCTGATTATCTGCTTTCGATGCAAATTCCACTGCATGGACATATAGTTGATAACAGCTTCCCAGGATGCATTTTACAATGAATTAGATATATACACAATTATCAAATGTGACTATTCTTGATTACTTGAAAAACACATAGCAACCTTCCCTTTGAGCATATGGTTTGTTTTATAACATATGTGATACATTGAGTAATTTTATTGCTGCTGCTATTGCTATTAGAGTGGTGATCAGTGTACTGCTGTACACAACATAGTGCACCTAATACCTAAGGCATGAGTAGTTAGGAAACAAATATTTCTTAGCACCTGTTCACTCTTCCCCTGGATAATCACTTGGAAAGCCATTCTGCAATTTAAGTATTGTCAATCATTCTAGTTCAACCTGCCCTTTGATACATCCTTCATGAAACACTCATTTCTTACTTTCAAGATCTCTTTGCAACTTCCATCACAAGCACACTTTGACTGTGTTGATAAAAAAATAACCTAAATCTCTTGTGTGCTTTGTTTACTCAACTTCTAGTAGAGGACAAGGAGTGATTTTTGACCCCATATTATGGGATTATTAAACCATCCAGATGACTCCTGCCTAGGTGGATTTCCCTCCATATCACTTTTCTTACGCATGGAGACATAGACAAAAGAAGTACAAAAGCAAATATTCCAGGTGGAATCTTCCCCCCACCTTCCCACTTGATACGAGAGTAGTGTTTTCACTCATGCTAATTTGTCTATCTTACTACCTAAGCTTGGTAGAACAAAGAAATTATGGGGTAGATTGATAAACACATTCAATGTGAGACTGACATACAGAGCCCCCACACGCAAGGGTTGTTCTTGCACTTATTGCTTAACACAGAAGCATCAAACTGACATTGGAAGTAGCTGCAGGGAAGAAGTACCAGGAACTTCAGGGTAGGGAGTCATAGTAATTTCTCACTAGCTTTATATTTCATTACCTAAAAATCCAGAAGTGGTCGTCTCTGTCCTCAACTACTGCCCAAGCTATACTTATTCTCAGACGACAAAAAATCTTCCACGGCTGTTCGTGTCTTTGTATTCTCAGATTGACAATGTATTTTGCATGGGCCAACCATTCTGAGACTGTTTGGAAGCTGTAACTAGTGGAGGGTATGCTGTCCCTGCTGTTGGTGGATATAGGTAGGAGCTACAGTCAGTCCTGTGGCAATTTCATGGGTGCCAGCAAGTTTCCAGGTCCAATTCAAGCTGCTGGTATTGATTTTTAAGCCTTTTACAGCCCATGATTTGCTTATCTCAGAGATGCTTGTCTGTACTGGAGAGGTTATCTGCAGTACCAAGCAGAGCCCCAGTTCTGTGGAACAGCTTTTCTCAAAAAGGGTACTTGTGTTTTTTTCTGTCCCATATTGCAGGCAGTTACTGAGCAGATGCAGAAAACTTAAGTATAAACATTTTGAACAATTTAAATCTAATACTCAGATCTATCAGCCTGCATCTACATTGACTTTTTCCTGAACAAAAAGAGAATAGCTGAAAAACTTGTTTGCGGCCTGTGGGTCACCTAGCGATGGGCTGTGGAGTGTGGGCGCATCTGATCACAGTTCTGATCTTGTGCTTTCCATTTTTAGTATTTCATGAAGAGGAAGGCACATGTTAAGAATATCTCCAGGAGTTATTTAAACTGTGTAAGCAATGATATTGAGGAACTACATATGCAAATTGCTTGACACCACAGTAACTCTTGAGATGAGAGGCTTTGTTGTCAGAATGTTGACTGTCATTGTAATCCTTTAGCATCCTCACAGAAGTACAAGACAACATTCCTTCTTGGGCCATTTGAGGTAGGAGGTGCTATGGCAGTTGCACCATTATTCGTAGATATTAATATTCTATATTGTGTTACATTGCAGAAGATTATCTTTTGAATGTGTCCATAGGTGCCAAATAGTGAACTTGCCCACACTGTTTGGATTGACTTGGAAATAAACAGAGTTAATACTGGTGGGTGAAGGAAGGAAATGACTATTACCCTGCTATAGAGAACATTGTGCCTGACCCTGGTAACACATGGGAGATGTTCTCCCAAGGTCTACTGCATCAGTGATGTGAAGTGGGAAATGTTGCATTATTTTATTTATTTATTTTTCGATTTATATCCTGCCTTTTTCCTACAAAGGGCTCAAGGCAGCTTACATCATTTTCCTCTTCCATCTTATCCCCACAACAACAACCCTGTGAGGTAGGTTGGCCTGAGAGTTTGTGACTGGCCCAAAGTCACCCAGTTGGCTCCATGGCTGAGCGGGACTAGAACCCAGATCGTCTGAGTCCCAGTCCCAGGCTCTTAACCACTGCACCACACTGGCTGTCTCAAGAATTATATGATTCTTCCATGGAATTACATGATTCTTCCATGGAAAATATTCCAGGTTTAGAAATACATTGTTTCAAGAAATGAATTGGTAACATGAATTAACAATAGAAATCAAATTGGACAACATCTCATATAAAATCAAAACTACAACTAATTTTTTGAGGTAACTGTCCTTAGGAAGAACATATAGTTGTTTAGGCATGTTAAGCTTAGCTTGTTAACCATTTTGAGAACCCTATTTTTTTTCTTAAAATCTTTTGTAAGGAAAGAATAGGCTATTGAGCTCTTATGTTCTAAAATATTTACAAGTACTCCAATAAAAATTATTTCCAAGTCAAACTTTGAATGTGCTTGTTTGTAACTATTTAAACCAGACAAAATGTACTTGGTTGAATCTTTTTTTTCTAATCAAATATTTCAGTTCAGCTACTTCTGACTCCAGGAAAAAGCATTCAGCATTTAAAATTAACACAACATACTTTTAAAAAGCATTTTGTTTACTAAATGGAATTCAGGTATTCAGACCTATCAATTCAGGGCCGCAAAAAACTTTCCAAAATATCTTCTTGTTGAACAGTTTCTGGAAAATCCACATCACTGTACTGCATCTGTAAGAGTTTGATCAGTATTGTGTTTTCTTTAGCCAACTTGTTTGCAAAGCTGTGTTCCCTCTTTAAAGAAAAAAAGAAAGAAAAAGAAAATACCTTGTGTCTCAGTCTGCGCTTGGCTCACAGTTGGCATGCCTACTCCCCAATCTTTCCATCTCATGTTGAATAGAGTGAATGAATTGTTTGCTAGGAAAAGAAGTGCAGTTTTGCATGCTACTTCAGACACCACAAATGTACAGTAAACAGTTACGTACAAATGCACTGTTTGTGACAATGCATTCAGAAGGCCAGTTGAATAGAAAGGTAGTTTACAGTGAACAGAGCGGAAATATTGGTCAGCCACAAAGTAGTTATGTGAATCATTGCTGGCTTCCCTTTCCCAGTAAGAACTTACATTCATTGAAGTTCTCCTGACCCACTTATAAGACACCATGACTTATGGTGACCCAGATCTGAAGCTGTGCTTGCTTGCTCTGTTTTGATAGCATTGCGGGATACCACAACAATGACCTTTTGGAACTGCTAGGAAACTACCTTTTCTGGCCTTCATAAGGTCTGCTGGGGTAGGTGGTTACAGTCTATACATAGCTGTTTCTCTATGGCATGGAAATTGTATTATGGAATAGTCATGGCTGACTGTGTGCAAGTTTGTTGTCTTCCTAGCCAGAGTCTCTGTTCAAACTAGTTTTGCAAGATTTTGTGTAGCATTTCAAGGGGAAATGGAAAAGCCAGTCCTTGCCCTTAGAACTGTTCAGCTGGTGTTGCTGCCTTAGATATGTGTACAGCTGTTCTATGATTATGATAACAGCCATAACATAGTTCACACACACACACACACACACACACACACACACGGGTGGGGGGAGATGGATATATTTATAAGTGTAGTATTTACTCATTTATTTAGTGACTTTGAGAGCCGCCTATTAAGCATCATGCTCTCTGGGCAGCCATTGCAATAAAAATACCCATAAAATAACATTAGAGAAATTGATTGATAAAATAATACAGTGAAAATATAATAATGAAATAAAACAAGATAAAATCACATTATACATAGTTAAATATAAATATAAATAAAATATAAATTAATATATTGAAACCAATGCAATTGGTCTGAAAGGTCTAAGTAGTACCAGAGGTGTGCCAAAAAAAAAAAAAAAAAGGTTTTTGTTAGGCACTTGGAACTCAACAGAGTAGGCACCTGGTGAATCTCAGAAGGTAGAGCATTCCATAATTGGGGTGCCTCCACAGAAAAGGATCTCCTCCTTACAGCTTCCCCTTTAAGTTCCTTGGGGGGGAGGGACTCAATGGAGGGCCTTAGTTGATGATCTTGGGCAATGGGCAGAAGTATGTGGAACAAGCTGGTCCCAAGCTGTCATAGTCAAGTGAATTTGGCTTGCACTGGAACAGGTAGACAGAACAACCAGTGAAGGAATGGTGTAATATGTTCATAAGAACTGGTCCTTATTAGCAACTGTACCGCCCTGTTCTGGATCATTTGCAAAGCCCAAAGCATGTTCAAGGGAAGCCCCACTTACAGTGCAGATGGATGGTAAGATAAGTGTGTACCCACTTGCATGGTTCTGGAGGAACTGAAACAGGAAATAGTTGGGCTTCTGCTGACTAGTGTACATTTGCAGTGGCATCTACTTTTGTTCCAGGCTGGCCTCACTGCGTTTGGCCTGACATGGTTAAAAGACTGGATGAGCCTGTTTATTTGTTGTGAAGTTTTTAGAGGAGGTGCTAGTGCGAAGGTCTTTTGTCCTGCCTATTCACTCCACTTTAAGCCTTCAGGTCTCGCATCACTTGAATATAACATGTATTTCTTCCTCTTGTTTATATGTCAGAGGGCAAAAGAGGCATACAAATCTTTCTGGAAGTCAAGAATTTATTCTCTTCTCAGATTTTCACGCCCTTCAACATGACCTTGATGACTGTTCCCTGTCTTTTTTATCGGTAGGTTCCAGTGTCTGTGGCCATGATGTCTCCTCAGATGATCACCCCGCAGCAGATGCAGCAAATTCTGTCTCCTCCCCAGCTCCAAGCCCTGCTGCAGCAACAGCAAGCAATTATGCTGCAACAGGTAAGGCGACTTGTCTTTAAGTGCCCATTATGTGGCAGCTGTTTCATGTGAGAGACACAGTTGACGTGTATGTGCATTTCTCGCACACAAGTGCAATGTGTTTCCTGTGTGTAAATTCTGAGGAAAGGCAATCTTTTGATTTCATGTTCTGGGCAATGGAGGATGAGAAATGCATTGGCCCAGGATTGCTTAGAGCCCCCCAGATGTTTTCACTTAAAACCCCCATTGCTTCTGCTGGTTAGGGGTACTGAGTGTTGTAGGCCAAACCATTTTGGAGTGCTACAAGTTACACACCTCTGTGTACTGTGTCATAGATCAATTACGATGTGAAGCCTTTACAGCCAAATTCAGCAGTTCATAGTTTAAAGAGTTTATTCTTGTCTGCGTCTTCAGCATGTGAACATTATGCTATAGGATAGTTTCAGTTTTGCCTCTGTAAAAGGCAAAACTGGTGGGGGTGGAGACTGGGATTTCAGTCACCATAGAAATGTACATTTTAAATACTGTCAGGTAGTAGTGCAGTTCAAACTACCTTGTCCAACTCTTTCATCTCTCCATGCCCATATTTCTCTTGCACTAGCACTAGCCAAGGACTAAAGTAGAAAGTCTGTTTATGCAAAACAGAGAGTTAAGTCTCATCTATACAAAATTTGAGAGTTAAGCCTTACTGCAGGGTAATTAGAAGTGTGTGTGCTGTTTTGGGAAATGAATTTCTTTTTCTAGCTATAAACTGCTGCATTTTGAATGCTCAGAAACCCCACCCCACAATAATTTCTTCATTGAAGCAACACTTTCATTAACATATTTGGATCCGTTATGACATCTGAGTAAACATGATTGTACATTTGCTTTACTTTAACTGGAAAGATCACTATTTTATTTCTGCCTCTCCCTTCTTGGATGTTCCCAAGAAATGCTAATACCTTAAAATATGTATAACTGCAATAAGACTGAAGTGGTAAGTTGGTTTCATACACCATTCAAGTATTTTCTGCCTTAAAGAAATAGAAACATAGAAACAGAGCGAGTCAGAAGGGGCCTCCCCGGCCATCTAGTCTAGAAATAAAGAAGGACTAAAAGCAACACCTATTTAAAAGTAACTGGATGTTGCCTTCCAAATGAAACTTATGTCCGGTGATACTTTTCTTGCTTATTTATCCTTCCAAATAATAACAGTCAACTTTCTCAAAATGTGATATGTATAACATTATTACAATTTGATGCAAGTTTGTATTTTTGTTTCAATGACAGAGAAAGTTCTGTGTTGGAGAATTCAGTTCTAGTGTTTCATTTGAGTTGTGCAGTATGAATAACTTTTACAAGAATACTTGGGTGTTGCAAAATATATGCGTGTTCGTACAACTTTATTTTAAAACAAACCACTATTTTGCCTGGGGAGTTCTTTTTTTCATTTACAGCTACACATACTTGGTAAGGCTTTTTCTTTTCTTTTTTTCTTCACTAGAAATGTATCTTGGCTAACTCTGTACCTAGTTCTTCTCTCTTATGGCTCTGAACACGAATGGCATCTGCTTGCCTCTAATTTGAGGTTGAATTTGGATTAAATTCTCCCACTGTAGAAGCTTGATTTGGCTCTTTTAAAAATTATGCTTTATTTGGCAAAAGGTAAATGCTTTTTCTTTTTTCCTTCTCCCAAATATGAAATGATAAGTACAAGAAAGGAGATGAGATACCCCAACAAAAGACAACTGTTTGGACAAACGCTTGCTCCAGGGAGGGGGACCAAGTATGAAAATCTGCAGCATCCTCCACACCCTTCCTTTTGCCTTCAGTACCTGTTTACTTCAAACATGCTGATAAGGAGTCAAGGTTGGCCCCAGGGAAAGAACAAAGGGTAAACACTAACTTGGGTGGGGTTCTTCCTACTCCAAGCCTCTTTGGAGCCAGATAGAGAAACACGTTTGACTACAAATTAAACAGCCTAAGCCGGAATAGCTGGCATTCTCCATGAGAAGAAAACCAAACATCACACCTCTCACCTCTTGACCCAATGTTCTCAGAATCCCATATAGAGACCTGGTTTTGATTGGCTTTTGGATAAACAGGGAGGCTTTCCAAACCTGTTCAGCAGACATAAAGAGAAAAGTTTCTGCTGCCAGCATTGTCAACTACAAGCTGATAAGGACTCTCCCAGAACCCCCAGGGGCATTCTTCAGAAGCCAGCTTTTTTCCAGGGTTTTACAAACCTGTGCTGACCTTTCCTGTAGTTCTGGCCCCCTCCTGTGGAAAACAATCAAATTTGTAAATTACCTGTTTGGAAGGGCACAGTATCAGGGTACTGCCATTGGCACCCCTTCGCAATAGCACGATAATGCAACTCAGTGCATGCTGGATCTCGGAATAATCCTTTATCAACGGATTCATACTGCATTGCAGAGTTTAAATGCTTATGTACAGTATATCTTGGCCAGTCTCCCTTTCAGAGAACATAACTGAAACACTAACTAGAAGTGACGTATGATTCCATAGAAGCCCTCCATTACCTTCATAGCACTGGTTAAAGGTCTCTTGGAAAAAACTAGAGAAAGGCAGAGTCTATGTGTATACAAATTGATGATGATTATAGGTCAGGTTTAACTCAGATTTTTGGAATTTTAAACTGGAGTTTAAAATGTAATAATTCTTTAAACTTGCCTAACTACTTCTGAAAGTGAACTGTATCAACCTTCACTTAATCCTGAAAATGCTATAAAAATAACACAAAAGGCTGTTAACCTGTATTCACCCTGGGTTGGGTTTAAAACAAGGAGATTGCAAATCACTAAAATGATAGGCAGATTGAAAATACTAATATGCCATATTTGTGGGTGGTGCTTCATATATTTGCTAAATAATGATACATACAATTGATTATTCTAATCACAAAAAACCTGTTAATTGCCAACTAAACAGAGCATTTAAAACATCTAGGAAAATATATGTATCATTTTAGCTACAGAAAGTAAGGAACAGTCCAAAAATTTGGTCACTCTAACTCATGCATCTTTGACTAAAGTGGTCTCCTCTGTACTAGCTGGGGATGATGGGGAGCTATAATCTAACACACCTGGAAGGCACCAAGTTGGAAAGGCAGGTTTAGAGAGTGAAGGTCCCACAGCTTTCCAGAAGCAAGAGCTTGTAGTGTCAGGCAGAATTGTAAATTGAAAATGAAATACCAGTTTATAGAATAAATATTCATACTTGTAGACAATTTGTAAGTGCGCAAGATCACCTCAGGGGGCACAGAATGATTTTGCTAATAGGATGATATTTCCTGGAGCCAGGGACAGGGTCCGAGTATCTCAGATGGTTAACTGGTGTCAGACCCATAATGCCACTAAAATGTAGTACCTGTTTTACATTTACATTTACTGCTTTACTTAAAAAAAGATATTTTCCCTTGTGCCTTTTGTGTACATAGAAAAACAAATACTACCTTTTGAGGTTAGGCTTTTGACCTCTTTTCCCCTCCTCAATGGTGGGAAACCTATCAAAATTGTGATGAATTTGTGTGTCCTTTCAGTGCCATCTGTTGAAGCATTTCTGAGGGGTTTGCAGTTTAATCACAGACTCTTTTAAAGAGGTTGGAACCACTCCAGTGCCTGAGCTTGGTAATGGATTGGATGAGGACGAATAAACCAAGACTTAATCCAGATAAGATGGAGGTGCTGTTGGTGGGTGGGAGCAAGGGTCATCTGTCCAGTTGGGTGACATTATACCTGCCTTGCACACCCCCTAAAGGACAGGGTTCATAGTCTGCGGATTATCCTGGACCCTGAACTGTCACTAGAGACACAAGCAGACTCAGTGGTCCGGAGCACCTTCTATATGTTCAGGCTAATTTTTCAACTATGATTCTATCTGGGCAGGCAGTCTCTCTCAACATGCTCTGGTAACCTCTTGCTTGGATTATTGTAATGCACTCTACATTGGGGCTGCCTTTGAAGACAGTCCAGAAACTTCAGTTGGTTTGAAATAGGGCAGCAAGGCTGCTGATGGGGACCGGCTGATACAAACATATTACGCCAAACTTCTTCCAACTTCACGTCTGGACTTGAGTCACAGTGCTTATGATACTATTTAAAGCCCTAAGCAACTTGGGGCAAGTTTATCTAAAGGAATGCCTCTTCTCATATACGCCTACCCAAACTCTGAGGTCATCGTATGAGGTCCTTTTCTGAGAACCACCTTTAAAGGAAATAAAGAGCCTTTTCGGGAAGGGGAAGGGCCTTTTTGGCAGTGACACCTGGATTGTGTTATTAGCTCCCCATGGAGGTGTGCTTGGTGTCTACACTTCACTACTTCCAGCATCAGGTGAAAACATTTTTATTTACCCAATATTTTAACAGTTAATGATTTAAATTATTTTCATTAAAAATTTTTTCTGTTTTACTGCTACTGTACCGTGGATTGATTTGAGCATTACTGCTGTGGGTTCAATGTGGGCCTATCATTGGTGTTATTTTAGTGTTGTCTGTATATTGATGTGTTATTTATCTTTGATTCTAATGTATTACTTTTTTTGTGTTTTGGTTATGGAAAACCACTAAGAGAGCCATTTTAGCTATGTTTGTTTGTTTGATTAATTAATTAATTAATTACTAATCTCTGGAAGAAGTTGAACGGACAGAATACTTCATAGCATCTTAGAGAATAACAGACTACATGCTGTACTGTAGCTATGAGTAAGGAAGCCTCAGCAGCCTAAACAATGTGAGAGCCGGAGTGGCGTAGTGGTTAAGAGCATGGGACTGGGACTCAGACGATCTGGGTTCGAGTCCCCACTCGGCCATAGAGCCAACTGGGTGACTTTGGGCCAGTCACAGATTCTCAGCCCAACCTACCTCACAGGGTTGTTGTTGTGGGGACAAGATGGAGGAGGAGAATGATATAAGCTGCCTTGAGCCCTTTGTAGGAAAAAGGTGGGATATAAATTGAAAAATAAACAAACAAACAGGTCCAGAACACTGGCTGAGGCAAAAGCAGATACAGGGAAACTTCCAGGTAGAAATGCTGGAGGAACAGTAAAGCATGCTCTTCCATGTCTTCTGTAAGGTAAACTGCCACGTCCAAGGAGACAAGACAGTAGAATGTAATGTCTTTTGCCACTAAATCCCTTTGGCATTGCCCATTAATCCTCATCCCCAGTGGTAAGTCCTTCTATAAGTAATTACATTCACTCACATTTATCCTTTTCTACCCTGTTCCTCTGTCTAGCAACCTTCTCCATCTTTCCCAGTGTCAAAATGGTAATATGTAAGTTCCTTGGAGGCATAGATTGGTCTCTTCTGCTGGTGAAACACTATTAAGTGCCACACATGTTAATGATACTGTATAAATTGCTCCTCCATCCCTCTGCTGATCTTCAGACACTGGGAAAAGGTCCCTATTTCTGATCTCTTCTTGTTGTTCCATCAGCCACTCCCTTTGATTGTTGTTCGCTGCAGAATTTATTGGTTATTAGTACCTTGCTACTTGTTTAATCTCTTGTGCTTGGTTTTGAATTATTGCTTGCATTACTGATTTTAAATTTTGTTAGGTTTCCTGTAGAACTTTTTAGACTTAAATGCACAATACTGAAGTTACAGTAAATAAAAAGAATAATTTTTTTTCTTTTGGTCTTTGTAACATCAATGCAAAATCTAGCTGGACTAGAAAAATGCACCTTTATCTGTCTTCATCTGCTAATGCAAGTATTTGCACACAAATAGTTCGAGAAGAACTCAGAGGTACTGTTAGTGTTATGTATGAAAATGCCCCTTAAAGGAATACAAGCAAGTGAACAAGATGTGAATTGAATACAGAATGAGGGTGGGGGATTGTGGTATTCATATAGCTGGAACACAAAGCAATAATAGAATGGATAACCATAAAATAATTGAGATACATTTGGCCCTCCACATTTGCAAGGGTTAGGGGTACAGGGGTGAAAGTGAAAAAACAGAGTTTCTCTTGACCCCCTCCCCCCCGAGAACCACAAGATGCACCACACACGGAGATACAAAACAACATGAGTGAGGGTGGCTAGTGCCAAGTCGAGAGTGTGAGTCCCCAGACAGAGCGCATAGTTCACAGTTCTTTAGTCTATATGCATCATCTGCAATTTTCCACGGTAGGCTGTGAAAAAATACATCATTTTTGATGAAAGTTAAACCAGTGAAAGTTGTGATTCGACTGTAATGGAAAGTCCATCCATGTATTTTTAGAATGCCATGAGAAGAGAGGGTTTAACTTTATGCTTCTGGTGAAATAGGTGGGGATGGGCAAATCTGTCCATTTTACCTTTTCTCTTGTTCAAATTTTAAAAATCTCCAGTGCTTTCCAGCTGTTTATGATAAGTTATTTTCTGAAAATGAATGAAATTCTCACTTGTCTCTAGTGGTCAAATGGAGTAGGTACAGCTACTCTTCACATCAAGAGGACTATATACTGTACTTGCCTGCCCTGCAGCTGTTAAAGACAAGGAGCTTGTCAGGAAAAAAAGAGGGAACAATTGTAATTCAACCAAAAAAAAAAAAAAAAGGGGGGGGGGAAAGGAAAGGGGGCAGGAGAGGAGAGGAGAGACGAAAACCCATTTCAGTAAACAGGTTCTCAAAGCCTTGAGCCAAGCATGCCAAGCTCTTTGCCTGGGGGGACAAATTTATCAGTTCTACTTTTTCCACTTTTCTACTTTGTAAAATTTTGAATTCTTTCTATGAAATTTGAAGAAATTTACAAAATTTGCTAAGTTCTTACTGAAATAAATCTCTGAACTGAATCAAAATCTCACAGATCTCTACAAACAGAGTGCGCAGCAGCTCATTCTACATTCTATGCCACTATGTGCAGATTCCCATATCTTTCCTCCATTTATCTTACAGATAGTGTAGAGATGGACAGAAAGAGGTTACAGCCTGGGTCTCATACAATTCAAATATGTTGTTAGTGAGTCATATTCTTTCCTTTCTGGGAATGCTCTTTTTGATTGACTCTAGTTTGTTGGCACGTACACCCTCTGGAAAAATATTACATTTAGCTGTTTGCTTCCATTTCACAAATATTTCAAGTTCTAATTTCACTGTCCCTTTTCTTTAGGACTTTTTTTGTCCTGCAAATCAATATTTCATCAGCAGAATTACCTACAAAACAATCAAATGCTGCTTTTCTGTAAATGATGACTTAATGCAGAACTTAGCTGTTGAACAGACTGTGGGTACTACAGCTGGAATGCAGAAAGCGGCTTAATCAGAGCACACAATACTTGCAGAATTTGCTTCTTTGGAAGCTCTAAGTATTTCCAGTTCTAACTCACATGCATCTAATGTATAGTGCTAGTGAATCTGAGAAAGGAGGATGCTCTGGATGCCAGTGTGATTCAGAGGACAGAGTAGGAATGCAATGTCCCTGGGATACTGGGTATCTTGACCAAGATAATCTCTCAACTTGTTTCACATCTGAAGAATAGGCATGTCAGTCACATCCTTCAAATAATGCTTGTGAGGATTAACAAACTATGAATAATCTAGTAGATATGTATAGTACAAGGCCAACAAAACTGAACAGCTTTTTTTGGAGTCACACATTGTGACCCTAGTCAACTCAATTTTGCGATTGCTGCTTGGACCTGTTATGGAATGGTAACCCTACAGTGAGCTCATATTTTAGTTGGCTCCCAGGCCTAGAAATGTAGTTGCAAATGGTTGCCATGTTCTGAAACTCTCGAATGTCTCATCTGCTTTCTATATTCTTCTTTCTTGCCGGTTCCTCAGCTGCAGGAATACTACAAGAAGCAGCAGGAGCAACTTCATCTGCAGCTACTGACTCAGCAGCAAGCTGGAAAGCAGCAAGCCAAAGAGGTGCGTCTGGTCTCTAGGTGCAGAAATCTCTTGTAGTTTGTGCTAGCATCTCTGCAGAAAGTAAAGATCCCTCCCCTTGCTTTTTCGTTTTTATTTTAAATTGTATTTTAAATTTAAAGAAAAAAAATCCATTGGGAAATGGAGCCAAAGGAAAAAAAACAGGCCACCCTTCCTTATTCTAAGCACATGCTTAACCTCACAATTTCTGCACAAGTCACTGCTTTCAAGAAATTCTCATAGGCCCTCAGTAATTTATTGGAAATCTGTTGCCTTTCAGGATACTTGCCTGCAATGGCAAATATATGATTTTCACTTTAGGAATCAAATTGAAAATCATAGATATTTGCAGCATCCCTGCTATTAGCACTCCTGCCAGAATCATAATGCAGAGTGCTGTGAAAGCACTCTTTAGCAGTTGTATTGCTGCCCTGTGAGCACATGTTACAGCTCTATGATAATCTGGAAAATGTGATAGGCTTGTCACAATAACACAACAGGCAGAACTTATTTAAGGACCACCTGCTTGAATCTTGGGAACTCTGTTATTCCCTGGATCTAACATCCATGTCTTGAAGTACTCACCTCTCCCATCCTGATGAATTTGTTTTATCGTGTATTTGCATAGTTAATAGGCTTGTGATTGAACAGACAATTAAAATAACTATATGCAGCAAGCAATTTTAGTCTCTTTCGCACAGGTTTGTGCAAGGACAAGTTGAAACTCATTCAACTATAATGAGTTCAAACACTTCTGTGTTGACAAAATCCTTCCACAAACCTTTTGTAATATGAGATGGAGTACTTTTCACTACTGAGGCACCTTGAGTGCCAAGGAATCCTTTGCAATACTTACATCATTTCCTTCATGTCAAGCTTGTTGTGAATTATTGTGGTTAACTTTCCTTTAGCACTGTTTATATTAAAGTTGGGTGTTTATCAAGTTCTCCAGTTAGTGTTGGTTTGATAGAGGCACTAGTACAGCAGTGCTATTCTGTTTTCTCCTTAAAACAGATTTTGATCATTCCTGTCATGTCAGAGATGATGTGTGCTGCTTCTAATCGCTTTGTTGTTAGATTTTTTCCATCTATTGAAATAGCTCCAGAAAGCCATCTGTCATGGATGAAATTACCAACAGCTCAAATCTGTTTGGTTTGTAGTTGATGAATATTGTTAATGACTAGTATGCATGTTATGGCCAGTTTAGCTACTCTTACTGCAGATGGCCAAAAACAAAATTAATCTGTGTGCAGGTCCCCATAAAACATACTAGAGCTCCCTCTTAGAAGCATTGTCTTCTCCTGCCCCTCTCATCTAATAGTTCTACCAGCTGTTCTGTTAGGCCAAGTGGGGTAGGGGCATAAAACTCTATGGCAGAAAGGGACCTCCATGTGTTGGCTGTAATGTACAGAGAGACTGACTTCTGAAAACCGTTGGCCTAGTAGCCAATGCATGTCCTAGTAGCCAACATGCAAGCTTGTTTTGACTATGATTATATGAAGGAGTGGCATTTTAAGTCATATGCTGTTTAAATACTATTGGCTATATGTTAAATTATAGCAATGTACTGTTTCTTCCTTGACCTCAGAGGACATTCCAAACTCTTTGGGAAGTTGCTGCTCCCTGGCACTTGCTCCCTCAAGGAAAGGGGCGATCCCTTCCTCCCCAGCCTCACAGTTTGAATCTGCATAGTGACAACAGTGCAGGGTTTTTGCAAAGCTCTGCAGGGTGTTTTTGTTTTTTTAATGATTTAATTGAACTTTAAGAGTGAAAAGGAATTCTGACAATTTTCTCTTCATCTCCCCTGTCAGCTCTTAGTCAGGGTCAGACAGATGGAATTCTGCTCATTGGGCCTTTGCACCCTCAGGATGGAGCTACATCGTGGCATGCTTCCCCCACCCCTAAATGTGTTTTGGGTTAACAGTGTGCTTCCCTTATAATTTTTCAAATCTAGGTGAGAAATGCCGAAGATTGTTTCATGAGCTTGTCTGAACCATTACATTGCTATGTGAAATATCTATTGTCATCTTAGAGAAAAAGCTGGCATGTGGGCAAGTCTCTGCTTGCTTATTTGTTGATTTGAATTGATAGTCTATCCCATACTGAAGGTTTAAAATGAGATTAAAGAGCCAAAGTACATGTGTGTGATACTCTTCCTACCAAGGGTTCTTTTCCACACCCAGAATGCTCTAAATATGTAATCACCTCTGATAGTGTGTGTAGGCTGGGGTGAGAAGGAAAAGTAGGAAAAAATACTCTTTCCTTCCTTTCAATTGGTTTTAGTTGCTGAAAAAATGCCTTTTATCTGTTCTTTCCCCTAAGAGGGAAAAAATAAAGTCACCTCATTACGCACTTGGAACCAAAGAAAGGGCTAAACACTTAGCTCAGTTTATTCTGCCTATCATAATTATGTGGTAACTGTTACAATAATAACTCAGCACTTCTGAATGGTTAGCACACTTATTTTAGCCCCAAATCTGAAGAAACAGCTATTTTCATTCATTGTGGGACTGGGATACTCCAATGTTGTGCCCAAAATTATGCAGCAAGCTGATAGCTGAGCAAGAAGTCACACATGATTCTTCTGAATCTGAACTTTGTGACATCCCCCCCCCACACACACACACAAACACCCTTCAATTAATGTTGAGAAGCACTGCTTCCTTTAGTTGAACAGAAAATATTTTAACAGGTGGGAGTTAAATCCTATCCCCACCAATAACATTTTCAGAAGCAAAACCATATATTGTGCCCAGGGCAGTAATATTGCCTTGCTTTCATTTAGTAACATCTTTGGTATGCTATGCCAATTGCCCCTATTCTTACAAACCTAGTTCCTTTAGTGTCTCCACAAAACTTGAGGGGAAGAAGATCTTTTAGACAGACTCTTGTCTCTGGCATTTGTCCCAGTGTACCAGCTGATATTGCATGGTTAATCGGGGAGGGGGGGAGCACAGGAGGATTGGCCAGTGAGTAACCTAGGCGTCAGATTAATGAAGTGCTCCTGTCAGTCCAGAGTGTCACGCTGAAACTCCTCTTGATGTGCTCATAAATCAAAGTGACGGCGCCTGTTACCCCAGTAGCTGCACCCGCTCAGCTGCGTCTAATGTAAACAGAGCGCAGACAAAATGCATTAAGGAACTCAAACCCTGTCGCTAGGGAGAAGATCAGGGATCAAGTAAGTGGAAGGTTGGAGCAGGAAGAGAGAGGGTGAGAGTTTGGGATTACACCCTTACAAGAAATCTTCCTTATGCTCCTCCACCTCTGAAAGAAGGAAAGATTGGAGAGGCCCAGTGGGCGTCAGTGACTGGCAGAGTAAGGTTCAGTAATTACTTTCTTTGTGTTTAAGATTTTTATCTGTGGGCAGATAAGCTTCATACTTCATTGGTTCTATCAAAAGTACGCAGCAGATGACCTCCAAAAGTGAAAGTGTCCAGAGAAGCCCACAGAGTCTGCCAGCAGTATGGCAGGGGAGGGTGAGAGGGACCTACCAGGCAATATCAGAAGGATACTTATTATTTTAGTTCCTGGTGATCAGGGAGAGATCTTTGAGGAAAAATGGCTTAATAGAGGTAGCTGAGAAGAAAAACTGGAGAGCATCTACCAGATTCTGCAATTTTATGTACTTAACACCCACTGCTAAGCTTGATAAACTGCTACTTTTTTGAGGATAATTTGGTCTCCATTTCTAATAACAATTTTTCAAAAATACTGTTTTTAATTCAATTGTATGCATTTCTTTGGCTTGCATTCAGTCTATTTGAAGGATTTTTAACCTAGGCTATTTTTCATATGGTTCACTATGAATTGACTTTACTCCTTTAATTTTGCTATAATGCAGTTATCTTCGAAATTCATGGATAAATTACATAGCAAGATTGCAGTGTACTACTTGACTATTCAGCCTTTGGAAATTGGGCTGAGTCAAGATTCAATGAGCATTAGAGTAATATTTGATCATTCAGAAAAATCTCATCACACATCACAAGTCAACATGTGAGTGTTTTACTGTGTGAACAATGGTAATGAGAATTTGGCATTTGGAGTGAAATTTACATGTGGATACTACGGACTGGAAGAGAGTAAATATTTATTAAAGGTGTTTCCAGATGAGGCTTCTATTGTGTGATCACCCTGCCTTGTTCATGGAATTTTAGGGTGAGGTCCCAGCACTGCCATTTGTAGCTGTCCCGTAGTTTCCCACTGCTGCTTTGTGTTCTTTTTGCCAAAGAAATGAAATTAAAATAGATCTATAAGGGTGCAGTTCTATGGATGTTTAGATAGCATGGCAGGTTAGAACGTACTGGGAGTTATAGAATACTTTCTTGTCTAAATGCACAAGTTTTTTTTTCCCTAATGGAGGGATCGCTGCACAGTGTATTTTGATTTTTGATGCTAGGAGCTTGCCATCTGGAAGTACCTTTAAACCAGACACAAAGCCGTAGCATATGGGAATGTTTAATAATTCACTGCCATTTTCTCAATTTAACCTCAAAACCAACCCTAAATAGGGAAAACTTAGAATGTTACCATCGTATGATCAGGCTTGAATTTTGTCCAGTCTGTAGTAGAAGAAAGTTCTGTAATTGAGGACAACCACCAAGAATTCCTCTATTTGGATCTCCTGTGCTGTGTTAACCTGACATATAGATGGCAACTGCAAGAGGTACCCTTGGTGGAGCCTGTGAGAAGAGGGCATTTTAAGATCCATTTTCTGCACTCTAAAAAAATTGATACTGAATGTTTGCTATATTGGCAGAGAAAGATGTACGGGGGCCTATGGTGCTACTGCAGTCGTGGCGCATCTCTACCTTCTTCCACCACCATTTAAAGCATCCTCCATTGAAATGAATAGGCATGCCATAAGAGCCCAGTGGTGTTCTTGCGCAACCTCTGCTCATTGCAGCATACACAGGAGAACATCCTGGTGGCTTGTGCCCAAAACTTCAGCAGTATTTCTTGGTGCTAGAAGGGAAAGCAAAGAATGCCATGATGTTCTGTAA